ATCAAATCACAATCAGAGTGAAAGCCTATAAATGGGCAGGTTGAGATCGCAGCACTCCCGCACCGACGCCTCTGCTGTTTACAAATGCGTTAGATGTAATTATAGGAGAGATGTGTGCGCATCACTCACGATCACGACTCGCCGTGCACCATAACGCTGTACCAATAAGTAGGTGCATCAAACCCATTGATGTGTTAAAAACGTCAAATGTGCCGACACTACCCATAAAACGCTTTCTAACATTATAACATCAAGGTTCTTAGTTATAACATAAGGCTTCAAAAGAAAGAGCTATTAAACAAATATTTTAGAACCTAAGCATGCAAAAACTGTTGAATGGTATGTATATTCTGACCTCGCTTTAGTATACCTACCCCTCTGCCCGGCGAATAGTTGAGACTTTAACAAACAATAATTATGGAACCCCGACCACAGAGTCCACAATACACCACTGAGACGTATTTTGATGAAAATAAATGAGGGGGAGAGCAAATTTTATTAACTCACGAGCAGACCCTAGACCCTTCAAAGAAAAAGAAAATTGCGAATGGAACACACAATATTATTAGATTCACATTGTAAATATTATTATATACATACACACGTACAACGTTTTGCATTATTGTGAACACAGAAGTATTTCTCTCATACAAAAGGAAATATTTGTACAAAAGCAAACAAAAAACGGAATCCCTTTCACATGACCTTAGCTACTGTTTGTGCATTGTTCTTATTAAAACAGTTAGCGTTTATTAACATCCGAGATGCATCCTCATAAAAGGACCGTGGAAAGCAAAAAATATAAGAGCAGATGTAGTGATCATGGCTTTGGGGTCGACCATAGGAAGTGCGCATACGTAATTGCGGCGAGTGGTCACAATGAGGGGAATTGGCCAGTAATAGCCAGTGTGATTGTTGTGCGAGCGACGCCCGCACCCATCCCATTGATTGTATGACGACTGAATTTCACAAACAACACATCTCAAACGGTCCGTGACCGGTCCGCGACTAACTATATTGCCATTGCTATCCATTCATTACTGATCATCAAAATATGTACTTCTTGATTCATGTTGTCACCCAGAAATGTTCTGCATTCGTAACTGATCTTTTGTTGCAATTTTGGACCGAAACATATGGCAAGTATGTTTTAAATCAGACTAGGCCAGTCTAAATCGTCTCCCGACGCCCAGACCCCTGTCCGGATGTGCCAATTTCTAACCGACGACGACGACGGCGCGCCTGACGTACGTCACACCAGCTATCATATTCAATTATCGATTCGACTTGACACAGTATTGCACTACCGTACACCCCAACTTAAACCTGATATCCGATATTACCAGTGCATGCATCTATTCTTGGAAGTTGGAACCTCATTTTAGGAAACGGCGCCTGAATATGATTAGCGCTTTAAGCGAACAAGTTATCAAAGCTATGAACTAATAAGTATATTATTTTATGTTAAATTTGTTATTTGGCAAAGCCCGATGAAAGATATTGAAATACGTAACATAATCTTCAATGATAATAATATTATTCAGACTGTAACTGAACATCTGAGAAAAACTAATTTAGAACGTCATAGATTACATTACGTCTCACTGCGAACGTCAGAATTCGTAACATTGTACTTTGTGAATGACTAAATGACGACATCGCGTCGGTAGACCAAACCGAAATGAACTGTGTACAAATAAAAGTGAGTGACCGACCGCGCAGATAGGCCTTTTGATAAACCATGTTCTATGAAACTGATGGATTAAAAAAAGTTAAAATAAAATGGATTGTAGTTTTAGGCAAACGCGCCTATCTATAGGTATTATACAGCAGAAGAAATCGTGATGACAGAGTCGCTGCATTATGATAAAAGCTCACGGTACTATTAGTTATTTTAATAAAATGTTGCAGGTGGCCTAGGTGCGTCCTGGTAATTGATAAATCTTGGGACTGAACGTTTCTTCTTCGTTGCAGTCCGTCATCCCTCTTACAGGATTAAAATGCCACCCCTGCTCATGGCGCACCTGCTCGGCCGTACCGCTTTACTTGAAAAATATATCACCGATTTATAATAACCGTTTAACTAAATAAAACAATTGCCACAATATTTTACCTAGTAAGTTATATCAGAAAACATTGTTCGAGTAAAGGGGTCAGTCATATTTTCACTCGAATAATTTTCACAAAATCAATGCAGGTCTCTCCAAGGTAAAAGTGAATGAGGGTTCTGAAAACACTTCAAAGTGTTTGTCGATTGCTGGTTCAAAGAGAAGCGTTGCTGTTGGGTGAGAGTAGAATTAATTTGCCAATAGAGCACGCTTTTCAGTAGACAAAGGTGCTTTGACGAGGCTCCCTCGAGTACTTCGTCACGAACCGACTTGTGGTGTGAGTCGTTGTACGAAATTGTTTCACCGAAGCCTTTACTTAGTTTACCTTTAGTGCGAAGCTTCAAATAGTTATAATAAATTCATCAACTAAAACCACGTATACATTATGAAGGATACGATAACATTATAAAATTGATGTCGTAAATATGAGGGTCTGTTCTGAGAGGTAAGCAAAGAAATCCTGCATGGTCACGGTTATATAATTGAAACAACTATCCACGTAATAATGATTATGATTAGATTCCTGGCGAGGTCCGGGATCGGGGTGATTCGGTGCCCGCGGCTCGGATCGGCCACCCACCTAGGATGCGCCTCATGTTGTAATTAAACAAAACCCTTTCCGATGTATTTCAATGATGCCCGATAACATTTGTGCCAGATTTTATGGTTTGATGTTCCACTTTGATTTGTATCAGAAGATTGATTTATTGTAAGCTATTTTTTTTGTGTGGCCTAATGATGACTTAAGTTAGTTACAATTACCTCGGAATTATTAAAAACAGTGAAATATATTTATTTAGGTTTTCGTTTGTATACAAATACATAATATTATAAAAGAATTTTAAACTGTCTGTTGTTTACCCTAGAAATTATAAAAACAAAACACATTAATAGTGGATTCCACATCTCAGGTAATTGTCACGAATTACGATGCGTAGAATTGGAGGCCTGAAGCGGAGCGGAGCGGTGGGGCCGTGCGACAGGTCCCCGATTATCCACGCATTCAGCACGGTAGCTCCCGTGGTCACAATGCAACCTGCTACCATTCCACCTGACAACCATTGTGCCTAATGGGAATTCCACGCGCTCCGGACACTCGTGCCATCGCTAATTTACGAGTGATAAAGCACGTTGGTACTTTATTTATAGAATCTAATCTATCTAGAATACCAGAGGCCGATTACACGTAAGCTAGCGTTAAGCTTTTCATTGGCAACATTGCACTAACTTCAAATTTGAAACTATTTTCTTTGACTTGATTACTCAACAAAATATTCCCAGAAATTCTCATTTGTCAAAGATTTTATTTGTTCTCTTCTCCCTGAACATGTGCAGCGTCATAAAACAAACAATACAAACTCTGAGCTACGTATTTCTTCATTAAAACGGAGGCAACAAAACATGAAGTTTCAACTGCTACTGCTTAGCTTTAAAACAAACCGGAAAATAATAATATGTATGCAAAGTTGTAATGAATTCAATACAATAGGACATCAACATTTAACTTTACAAGCAGTTATTGAATTCAAATCGCTTATTACTGAGTACCAACAATTAGGTAAAACGGCATTTCCTGAGGATAGACACGTTTCGGCAGAGTAAACAATTAGTTAGTCGTGATGGGAGCGTCGGAGGCTGTCGGTGGCTCGTGAGTGCTCGTGACCGGGTTGGACCGCGGGACCTGACCACGACGTCATGCTCCGCTGCGCCATTCGATCCGACAGGTGCATGCGGCACGTACACAATATTTACTACATTAACTATTGAATATAACAAAAATACAGTGTCAGCATTAATTACAACTTCATTTTTACCCATTTTATGCTCCCTGACAGTCCAGTCCAGTCAAACAAATTTTCTCAAGCAGCTTATTTAAAATTGTTGCATGCTAATTTATTTTGTCACGTGATATTTGAAGACTAAAATTAATCAACGCGACAACATCAGAAACAAAAGCTTTGTCAAAGTAACAAGATAAGTGAGATGTAATTAAACATTCCCATTAATAGATGAAAATTACATTAACACGACTTTAAAATCGTGTAGCAGACCGTGTAAAGAAACACATCCCGTACTCAGCCCACCCCATTCTTTCCCTATCATTATCTCAATTTGCCCTTGATAGAGACATTGAAGAGATGGATGGATGAGTAAAAAATGAAGGACTTGGACGAAAAAATATTAAATTGCCTTACACCTTTTTCTTTTTGAAGACGATTAGATTAGGTTTGAAAATTGTTCAATAATATTTTTAGTAGCACTTTTTTGTGATTTCAAGGTGAAAGATGCTCACGGTAATAATTCAATATTGTCTGTGACAATGACGTTGAGTGAATTTGTCATTGTGTGTAAGAATAAATATTGAGTACCTAATTAACTAGTTACTATAGAAATGTTGTTGTAGAGAGGAGACCACACCTAGCGAACCCGCGTAACAAGTTAACTAATACGAAATGGTGATTTAGCAATTGAAACAAAAATAGGTAAAATAGTTATTTTTGATATTTATTAAATAACTTCAAAAAGAAAGAAAAAAAATGAGGTTCTCAGTTTGTTCTGTATTTATGTTTCTGCGCGATTGTCTCGCGATTGGCTGAACCGATTTCGATGTGGTTTTCAGAAAAGTGGTTGGTTCTACTTAGAAGAAGGTTGTAGTGTATTAATTAACCGACTTCAAAAAAAAAGAGAGTGATGAAGCCAGTTTTTTTAAACTCAGTTTATAAAATAATCATTATATTTACACAGTTTTTGATTAGTTTGCCGAGATAATATTAATCTGACATCATACGATGGTTCCGTAACATTATTGATAACAAACAATTCCAAAAAATATGCAGTATTCATGAAACAACAAAGATGATTAGAGATATTTAAGTACTTTTTGAAACTTACCTCCATTTCCCGCGTTGGTGATGGTCACCCAAAAGTCGATGGTCTTCTCAGGTCCGAGTTCCTCATAGTCCCACTTCTTTTTAACTTTCACTACACCACTTGGTTCCACGGTAACCCACGGATTTTCGTCCCTAATTTTGAAAGTCTCGCGGTCGGTTTCTTTTTCTAACGTAAAAACGGCACGTCCCTCTACTTCACCATCGGCTTCAGTAAATTCAATCCTCTTCGTCGGTCTAACAGCTCTTGTCACACGACGCTTTTCACGATGTAGAACTGGTAAATCTCTTTGGTCACGAACTATAAACCCTAGGAAAACTTTTGCAAGGCGACTTTTAAGCTGGGGGAAGCCTGTGTCATGAGCAATCACACTCAACTCCACTTCACGGGTATCTGGTTCACCGGCTAATATTAGTTCTCCAGTCTGTGGTACTATTACTACCAAATTACTAGGGGTTTGTAATGAATAGTATACTCGATCACCATCTGCATCGGTAGCTTGCACTTGACCAATAGTTGAAAATCTTGGCCAGTGTGCAGTACCATTAGGACCATTTTCATCAGCAGTTCCATTTACAATAAAATAATAAACATCTTGCTCAAAACGTGGCTCATGATCATTTTCGTTACCTACGTCTACTCTTACTTTAAGATTAGCCTTATTCACTCCGTGAAGGTCCGTAGCTTGAATGACAAGTTCGTAGCAGCTTTTCGTCTCAGCATCTAATGGTTTATTTGCTACGATTTCCACGTCACCATCCGTTACAACAGACTTTACTTCTGAATTCGTGTCTGATTTTCCTTTCTGTTTTAGAGAAAATACAGAATTTTCATTTCCCTTGATGATTTTGTATGCTAGTGGACCCACATCGACAAGAGCCGTAGCCCTAATTGGTAGAATGTCAACTATAGTTCCCGGTGGGGCGTTTTCAAAGAGTCCTCCTATTAGTAAACCCGGCGTAAACTGTAACATTTGACGTCGGTCCATAACTAGGAGATGAATGGCGTGGGCTGCACTACTATAAGGAGTTTGCTCAAGTATGGCCAAATTGACAGGTTGATTGAGAAGCGGCGTTAAATCAGCTGTAGTCATGAGTAGGCCATCATCGAGGAGAGTAAAGTAGGGCGCGTACTCTGGATCTAGAAGCGTGTATCTTGAGTGGTTGCCCACAAAGTGTCTGACGGCATGGCCAGGACGCACGTCGTGCGGCAGTAAGGTAAGCGCGCGCGTCTGTAACACGACGCTGAGCGCGCAAAGCAGCACGCCGCCTCCCAGCACTGTGCGCGCCATAGCTCTCACGGGTGTTACCGTCAACTATCCCAACATTTCACACCTACAACAAATATTTGATTTATCAATTACACCTTAGCCATCTGGTGGAAGATATGCAAGCATTATTGATTTAGCTAGTCATTTTTACAACAAATGTTGGTCTTGAAGGAACAACACATTGGATTAACAATTAATAATTTATTTTTTAGGCCACATTAGGACAAAAACAATTCAAGAAAGCAAAAGATGAGTTCTCTAATTCTGAATTCAGTAACATGTTCAATCAAACCACAGTTCCACTGCCTACCTACGGCCGAAATTATAATATTACAGTTGTGGTCTTTTTGCCAAAAACATAATTCGATCCAGATATTTTGGATTATTCATTACCAGGGCTTGTTGTTAAAAGAATTAATTACAAAGCACCCCTTCACCTATTATAAATCGTGATGGTCATAGGCATTACTTAACCTGATACCTAGATAACGTTAAAGTTTCTACGTGTTGGCTCTAAACACCTCAAGTCACTCACCTTCTCGGATCACTTAGGTTTCTAATTCAATAAATTGGAATGTAGATGATTAGAGTAGATTAGATATCTAACACATACCTATCACTTTAAATTTCACACAAAATGCCAATTAGGTACTAAGATAGGTACACTAGGTAGTTAGTCGAGTGAGTAACTTGAGGTTAACTTAACCAACATTTTAAGGATCGATAACTTTAACCAAAGATTCTACACATTATTCATTAAACAGAATTATAATAATGCACAAAATAGGTAGAATAATTGTCATAATCTGATCTTATTTGATTCTTCTTATATTGTTTGATCGATATCAAAAAGAACGTTTGTTGGTTCAATTCACCTCTACCTTAGAATACTTGACAAGGTAAGTACGCACTCATAAATAAATAAAATTATTTTTCTTCGTTCGCTCTCAAATCGCTTTTACGGTTCTATCACTGAAATACCATGCAGATTTTTCGCAATCAAATCTGAATTGAATGCATGAATCATGTGATAGTGTGTTGTTAGACTATCATACTAGTGCATGTAAGTACGCGACGACTGTACGAAGACGTCGCCGTCGGCGGCGACGGCGGGCGGCATCGACGTAGGGCGGCGAGGCGGGGCGCACACATGCGGAGCTTTATTTAGGCGGCGGGCGAACGCCGGCGTCTCGCGACCCACCGCCGCCGCCGCCGATCAATACCCTCGCTGCGCCGTCGCGCGACGCTCACCGAGCGAATCTGAACTCTACACGCGCTCCCGTTCACGACACACCATCAAAAATTCACACACTCATTTTACTGAATAAAAGCATCCACTATTTTCACGAAACTTCACAAATCTCCAAACGATTTATGAAAAGAACCGCTGAAAACATCACATCAATGCACTAGGTATTCAGATTCCGATGTATAAGCGACTGCAGTCCGTCAATTCCATAATATTTTTGCTAATTAAGAAAAACACTGCACTTTTTAATTGATAACTATCAATATAAATATATGGCGCTTATCAGAAACCAACTTAACGTATCGTGTAAACATGTGGTTTGAATGTAAACAATTATATTAAAACTATTAAATACAATAATATCACTCCCGATTCACAATTAAACTAATAGTAATTAATAATTTTAGGTAATTCTTCGAAATAATATACGTACTTTATGAAAAACGTGAGACTTTTATATCGATATCGTAGCGTTTGACAGATGCGCGCCGATAAACGAGACACAGACCGAGCGCAACGACGTCGAAATGCGACTGGTTGATGGCGGAGCTCGGCGCGCGCGCGTATCGAGCGCCCTCCGCCCGACCCCGCCACCCTCGCTTCTACAACCCCTGATTGTCCCGCCCGGCTACTGAAGCTTTTTGGTTCTTAGCTTTTACCCCTCCGCAGCTCCGCGTGGCTCGCTCGCTATTACGACCATTACTGCATGCACTAACGCGGTTAATTCCTCTTGAATTCTTTTATTATTAGGTACGAGTTCAATTTGCAACTCAAGGGTTAGTTGGGTCCAGCGGGCTAAAAAATATTTAAAAACGAATTGGAATCTTTAAGTATTTGTGTATTTGCACATTATATCTGCGTTAATGCTAAGTAATTTATTATTCCCGTTTATTTAATAATTTTTTCAAGGTAATGTTTGAATCATTCAATCAGTACCTAAGTAGATATAGGTAGAGCTAGAGCTCCTGTTAATTTAAGTAGACGTAGGAGGCAGGTTTACGTTGTTAGGTAGGTACAGACAGCCCAGGTAGGTAGATATCTAAAATTAAATTAAGTAGATAGGTAGGTACTTATTATACCTATTTAATACGGAGGTATTTATTATGGTTACGATTACCTACCTATTAGTAGAAATCTCTTCAGATTGAGAAGCCCAATTAAATACACAATATTTAAGAAGTACCTAGGTACCTTCCTATGCTAAAACAGATAGGTAGGTATGCATGGAATTTACCATTTTGAAATTAGTTGATAAGTATGTACCTACCTTTTTGTAAGTAGTGTTGAATTAACTCTGTAAGATTTCAAAATAAGTTTATACCTGCTTACCAGATTCACACATTTACGGCGCACGAGAATTCGCGAACCCCCGAGGGTTTGCGTATCAGACGAAAGTAATAAGGATTAGAGAGAAATAAAATGAACTGAAGGTTTTATTTAGCTGCCAATTTTAAATGAAAGATAGGTTATTGTACTATTTATCCCCACTTAACGATTTTCTTGTATGTGTGACGTGACTCGTGAGTAGGTACCTACGTGTACAAACATTCACATCAAAGACATAGGTAGGTATCACATCATGGGTATCACAGACCCGAAACAATAATTAATTTGTGGGAGTTGAGAATTGTTCCGGGCGGGAATTGAAACGTGACAGCGCAGCCGGTCGCCCAGCCACTGAGCCAACCGTGCAGTCGTAGGTAAGGTCATTTTTAAAAAGTTAGCGACGTACCTACATACCTACTTGTAACTGTTCTGATGTTGCGCTTGGGGGTATCAACAGATGACGTCGATCGCTTACCATCAGGAGATCCATCTGCTCGTTTACATCTGTATCATTTAAAAAATATCCTAGGTATAGATAAGTATGTATGTACAGGCTATTAGATAAGTTGTACAGGCTACCTCCCTGTAGGTATTTTATAAATATGTATGTGTAGTACATATACAAACGTAGATATTCACATAGCATCAGAATATCGTCTACAATGCTAGGGAATTGAATTACTGTTTTCTACGAAGAGAACGTTTGCGTCTACGCATTTCTTTTAGCCATTTGTTCTCCAAAGGGGTTAGCAGTTTTTTTTTCATGGCATTGCAAACGAGTAGTCGGATCACCTGATGGTAAGCAAACGGCACCGCTCATGGACACTCGCAAAGTCGCACGCAACACCAGAATAGTATAAACAAGTGCGTTGCCCGTGTTGCCACACTCTCTAAGCCCTAATGAATTGAATTGAGGATTAGGTATAGAGGGGGTGGCAGGTGGATTATTTTAACTACAGTTTTTCAGCTCACTCATATGACTAAATTTTTCCATTTCTCCATGTAACACAGACTTATCCGTTACTTAAATATATGAGCACGAGAGAACTGCCTCCTAAAATGAATTTTTGAACAACCGAAAAATACTCGACATTACACGACTCGGGAATAGCGACCGCGATAACAGAGCTAGGTAGTCACATTTGAGACCACTCTTGGCTATGCCTGTACTCACGTGAACCTCCTGAATAGGTAATGAAACTCCTCGTCCATCACAATCAGAACTCAACTGTTGTCTTTAATGAAATGAAATTACAGAACTATAATTATAAGTAGGTATGCTTATTTGTCGTACAAACACAGGGTAAAATACTTTGAAATCAGACCTGATTTACGGCAGGCACAAGAAGCCGCGAAAATATTTATTTAATACTTTGCTACAAAATTACAAAATTATGAAGATTATTTCTAAAAACTGCATTACTTACTAAATAATTCATGAAAACAACAGCCCCACAAAATAAAACAAAGTAAATAATAGAAACAATTATTATATTAAAACAGTAATTTACAGACTAGTATAAAAAATAGCCAAAGCTAGCACTGAGCAATATCATTTGTGACTTTTAATAATAAAAATAGTAAATAATATTTCATTTGTATCAGTATAAGTAATAGCTGTTATACATATAAATTCTAATAAGACAGTTCTAGGCATTTGCACTGGGTGCTTAAGAAGTGGTAACTGAGTTACCATAAAGCTTAAAAACTAGAACTAAATATGATGGGTAAACTGCTTCGGAGCGACACTATCATTTGTATTCTTGTATCTGATTTCTTTAATTGTCAATTGTTTTCCTTGGTGTATCCTTTGCAGATGGCTCCTCATATCATATGAACGTGAAAATGATCGGTGACAGACAGGGCATTGTGTTTTTCCAGCATGAGAGTCCTTGTGCAAAGTCAGTGATGTAGGGTGCTTGAAACCTTTTGGACACAGTTGGCATCGGAATTTTGCAAGTTCTGATTCTGTAACGTGAATAATAATTTATTAGTTAATTAATGTAACCTTACACCTACTATTCACAAAGGGGTAGGCAGAGGCACCGACTTCTTACCTATCAGTGGGTGGGTAACCTATCAGTACTAATGATAGTTATTTTTTGCTTTTTAGTTTTGACTTTTTGTTTGTTATTAGTTTTTGGTTTTTTGAAGTCGGTTTTTTAAACACAGTTTTTATTTTATTATTATCATACATTTTTAATTTTTCAGTTTAAAGATATTGATTTTGAATTTAAATTCTTTTGCAAAAATAATAATTCGTTCTTTCTCTGAAATCACTAATACAGTTTGCAGAGGAATGTTGATTATAGACTTTCCATGAAATATTATAGTGATAATGATAAGGATTAAAGATAATACAAACTACACTTAAGCCAAGCCCATTCATTCATAAAAACAATGATTATATTTAGGAATAAATGTTTAACAATACCCAATACATAATTATTATTTAAAACACTTATGTACACTAGTTATTGCCATATAAATACTAACCAGAATTCGTTTTTTCTGACAAATCCTCAACAGAAGTAGACTGTGTATCAATTTGCATCTCTTCACCACTAGATGGTGTTGTTTTCAATTTAACATTATCGTCAGACTTTGAAGGTTCCGGTTGCATTTCAACATTGCCATTCTCTTGTTCTGGAATACCTCTATTTAGATTGCTGGTCATTGACACAGGTTGTGGAATGTTGTACTCTTCCCTAGTAGTCTGCATAGTAGCTAAGTTTATTGGTTCATCAGATAAAACAGGCACAATATCATCAGTCATTCTACTCGATTTGGAACTTAAATCTAAAGAGGTGTTGTCTGTAATCCGCAGCTGTGCTTTAGATGATTCATCCTCCAAGTTATCAGTCAAACCCTTAACCTCTAAAAGCTCAGCAGTAATAAGGAATGATTCCAACTGTTCTTGAAATATGTTCACCTCACCATGGTACATGAAGTTGATAATTGCATTGAGGTCCTCGAATTTGAAGTTCCTGAATATTATTACAGGATGTTGACACGGGTTCTCTTTGAATATCTGTTTAAAGTAACTACTACAGGCGGATAACAACATTTTATGCGCTTTGATTTTACCTCCATCACAACAGAGTGTCACATCCACTAGGTCGTTTTCAAAACGGAGGACATTGAACGCTTCTGTTACGTGAGATACGTAATTATTCCAGCGCAATGAGAACTGCGGTGCATTATTCATTCTATAATGCCTTACAACAAACACACGGCTGAAATATTGAAAACACTTAATCTACTAACGAGTTTATCACTTTGTTGAGATAATCGACCGGATTTGATAATGCACGGATTATTTTTATATTTTCCGTGTGAAAAGTTTAGGTTTCTCTTTCATTTACACCAAAAAAGTAAAATTATTTGTCAATCTTGTCAATACTTGAAATGTCAACTTAACCAGTAGCCAGAGGAGAGAAAAAGAACGCGAAAAATGTAAAAACTATTTTCACGGTTAACAGTATCGAAAATATCAATTTTCTATCAAGTTTTCTACTAAGTTAAAAGGTAATATCTCAGCGATAAAAAGTTCAAGGGATTTTGAATCTGGTTGCCATCTAAATCGGATTACATTTGATTACCACAGACTTACAATAGATAAGCAGACCGAACATTAATTCCTAGTACGTTTACGCATTAGTTACGTGTATGATATCCATCATTCTTTGTCCTTGTTCTGTCAAGCACCAATCGAATAATGGCGTCTCGTTCTTTTACCTGTAGCCACCCTACTCCACTCACAGACAAATATTGATATGTAGCCAGTTCATAAGTGCCGCCATATTGATATGTTTTTTACCTCCAGTTGGTGTCAATCTCGTTATAAAAGAAAATATTAATTGTTTATCCCATTAAACGTTTAAATAGTCTAAAATAAAATGGTAAAGTGCAGTGCGTACTGATGTGAAAGCAGTAGCTATAAGAACATACCATAATAAGGAACAGTAGAACCACAATAAGGACAAACCTTTCATCGGTAAGCTTTTATTAACGTTTTTGGAGACTACCACAAAATGTCGAATTTTTAAAATAAATCAACTGTTTTGATAATTTTTAATCGTTTATAACGAAGCCCTCCACTATCACGTCGTTTGCCCATAAGTTTACTTAGAATACAATGTCCAACAACAATGAACAAATAAAATCAACTTAATTTTTCATTCATGACAGTTCAAGTTTTTTTTTATGGAATAGGAAGCAAACGAGCACATGGATCACCTTAGCACCTTAGCACCTGGATAGCTAAGGTGAAAACCGGCAGCGATCACCGTATTGTCAGAGGCACACTGAATATCAATGTCAAGCTGGAGAGGTCACGCCTGGTGAGGTCCACACTCCGTCCTGGTCGCGCCCAGGTCCAGAACCCCGAACAGTTCCAGCTCCAACTGCATAATCGCTTCCAGTGCCTGGCTGAGTGTGAAACGATTGACGAGTTAAATAATGGGTTAGTGGAAACTGTCCAAGCGGTGGGCTCAGACTTTTTCAAAAACCCACGCCGAAATAGACCTCAAAAGCTCTCGAAAGAAACACTTAAATTATTGAAAGACCGACACGAGATGAGGCTGCAGTCTTCAGTTGACATGTCTGGATATGGCAAACTTAATAGGCGAATTTCAAAGTCTATGCGACGCGACCTGCGTGCATATAACGCCGCACGAGTCAGGGATGCCATAGAGCGAAATCAGGGCGCAAAAGTATTCGCAAGGAATTCGTCTGTTGGGCAAAGCCAAATGACGAAACTGAAGACCGAAAATGGCAGCATCGTTTCGTCGAAGCCAGAGATTCTGAGAGAGCTTGAAAGGTTCTACGGACAGTTATACACCTCGACACGGCAACCCATTGTCGGTACAGCTCGGGATCCAAGAGCTAAACTGACACGGCACTATACCGAGGATATCCCAGACATCAGCCTGTATGAGATTAGGATGGCTCTCAGGCAGCTCAAAAATAACAAGGCACCGGGTGATGACGGAATCACAACAGAACTTCTGCGCGGGTGGAAAACCGATACTTTTAGTCCTCCAGAAACTATTCAATTCCGTCATTCTCGAAGGAACTACGCCGAAAGCATGGCAAAGGAGTGTAGTGGTTCTGTTCTTCAAGAAGGGTGACAACTCTTTGTTGAAGAACTATAGACCCATCTCGCTTCTGAGCCATGTATATAAGCTGTTTTCTAGGGTTATCACGAACCGTCTGGAACGCAGGTTTGATGACTTCCAGCCTCCCGAACAAGCCGGGTTCCGGAAAGGCTTTAGCACCATAGACCACATTCATACGCTGCGGCAAGTTATACAGAAGACTGAGGAGTATAACTTGCCACTATGCTTGGCGTTTGTGGACTATGAAAAAGCCTTTGATTCGATCGAGACCTGGGCGGTGCTGCAGTCTCTCCAGCGATGCCATATCGACTACAGATATATCGAGGTGCTAAATGTTTGTATAGAAACGCCACCATGCGCATCCGACTCCAGGAAGATAGCACGGAACCAATCCAATTGCAGAAAGGCGTGAGACAGGGAGACGTGATTTCTCCGAAACTGTTCACCAACGCATTGGAGGACGTTTTCAAGCTTTTAAACTGGAGTGGACTGGGCATCAATATCAATGGCGAATACATCACACACCTCCGCTTCGCCGATGATGTAGTCATCATGGCGGAGTCGCTGGAGGATTTAAACACCATGCTCAGCGACCTCGATATCGTCTCCCAACAGGTGGGTCTTAAAATGAACATGGACAAGACCAAAATCATGTCAAACGTCCATGTTGCACCTGTACCGGTCATCGTTGGGAACGATATCCTCGAAGTTGTAGACCACTACACATACTTAGGGCAGATTATACAGCTAGGTAGGTCCAATTTCGACAAAGAGGTCGCCCGAAGAATCCAACTTGGATGGGCAGCGTTCGGGAAGTTACGCGAAATCTTCTCATCGAAAATCCCTCAGTGCCTAAAGACCAGGATGTTCAACCAGTGTGTGTTGCCGGTGATGACGTATGGTACCGAGACGTGGTCCCTGACCTCTAGCCTTCTGGAGGAGCTCAAAGTCGCTCAGCGTGCGATGGAGAGAGCTATGCTCGGGGTTTCTTTGGGCGACAAAGTCCGAAATATGGAGATTCGCCAAAGAACAAGAGTTACCGACATAGCTCGCAAAATATGCAGACTGAAGTGGCAATGGGCAGGCCACGTCGCTCGAAGGACTGACGGCAGATGGGCCAGGAAAGTCCTTGAGTGGAGACCACGGACCGGAAGACGAAGCGTGGGCAGACCTCCCGCTAGGTGGACCGACGACATCGCCAGAGTTGCGGGGAGCCAGTGGATGCGGGTGGCGAGTTGTCGTTCGACGTGGAAGGCTAAGGGGGAGGCCTTTGTCCAGCAGTGGACGTCTTCCGGCTGTTGATGATGATCGGTTCGGAAATACTGCCGACGACAGATAATTCCACAGTTTTGCTGTGCGAAGCAGAAAGCATCGTGAGAAGCGCACAGTTGTGGCCCGCTAACCATCTGTATGGTGGGGATGCGTATGCTGTCGTGAGGGTCGATGGCGAAAAGATCCGGCAGGTATCAGTTCAAACAATTCCTCACAGCACTCCCCGTGGTATAATCGATAATAGAAAATGCACAACAGGGCTACATCTCTACGCAATGCCAAAGTGTCTAGCCAGTTTGAAGCATCCATCCCGACATCCAACAATCCGAACGACACGCCGCTGGACGCGGTCCAGAGGAAGGAGCTAGTTCTGGGGTGGCCCCACCCAAAGATGAGAACAGTATTTCATGTGGGGACGCACCTGTGCCTTATTATGTATAGAAGCAGGCGATGGGCCGGGGTAAAAGTACTTGTAGAATCAACATAGGACGGATTTAGTGTTCCAAAAAGTAAAGCTAATTTAGTGAACAGAGTGGAAAGTTTCCCTAAGATCGGAAAAGGAGGACCCTCCGACCAGGCGAGGTGATCGTGCCTGACGGGCTTTCTGCCCAACAGTTGTTCGTTGGGATGTTCTATTCGTGTTTATTCGCTTGTAAACTTTGAATGTACCATGTGTCGCAACACTACTAAATATATTGTTTTAATATTGAGTAATACACTCTACAAATATACTTGTATAATCTAACATACTTGTTTTTTTACAATTGTATTATAGTTGTTATTAATTATCACAATTGCCTATTATCATGATTTCATGAAATAATATCATCGTACACCTTAAGAAAATCGGAATGCTTAGGAATGTACAACAAAATTTAACAGGACAGGACAAGGAAAGAATTTATCTTGGAAGTGGTCAGTATTATTGAGAGCAGGGAGGTGACTATTCTACACTTTATCATGGGCCTTTATAAAAATATTATTCTGCCTTCAACGTGTTTTATTTGAAAAAGCTATATTTTATACATTTTGTATATTATGAGGATTTTGAAATGATTTATTATGAGTATTAAATAATTTTTGAGACAATATTTTTTACAGTTCCTAAATACCTAGTTTCGGAATTATATAAATGTCATAGGATTCTCATACATTTCCGGTAAAACATACCAACTAAAGTTTCAATAAAAATGGGTGTTTATTCAGTATTTATAAATATTGACTTTTTATCCCAAAAACATGCTTCTCTCTATGTAGGTATAATAATAATGACCTTTATTTGTAATGCCTTACGGTTAAGGTACCGTACTCCCGCCACGTTTAAGTTATCGCATGTGTGTTTTTGGGTTCACTTTTATTTAGGTAATGTTCGGTCTGCTTATCTATTTTAAATCTGTGTTCTAAATTGATGTAATGTTTAGTATAAACTAATCTGAGGTTGAAAAATGTGAACATGAACATTTGTAACCATTTGATGAAAAATGTAACTTATAAATCTGCACATAGTAAGTACTTTGCCAAAAATAAAAAGCAATAATGTACATTTCTTTTGTTGTCAACTCAGTGTCACCTGTAACTAACATACTTCATTATTATTCTTACACGCCTATAAGATACGTTTATAATATGTAATAGATTTCTATATGACATGAAGTAATTGTAGTATTTTGATCGTAATGAAAAATCAGACAATGACATAAGTAAACAATACCTGAAATCGAAATGACTTTTTATCCACACTTAATCGGATATATGTCGGATATTTTGTAATACGTGCACCCCTATTGAGGGGATATATGTCAATCGTCAATGTCACTTTTAACAAATGTCAGTCACGTCAGTGATTATTTGAATGAGTGATCTATCTATTGGATTTTGTCTTTTCTAAAACAATTTGTACTTTGCGGTTTTGAGCTAAAAGTATTAACTATTATTGTAACTTCGGACACAGAACTAACTTTTAATTCATCATATTTACTATTTGATACATAGCAAAATGGTAAGAGCGTTATAATTACTTACCAAAATAAGGTTACAGTTCTCTATTTACGAAATTTAATTTTATTGTCTTTTAGCACGGTCGAGTAAAAGTACGTACTACGGAGGAAGAACGGGCAAGAAAAGAGAAGGAACGCCAAGAAAAGCTTAAAATTTACAAACATGCTATGCAACAAATATTTCTTAAGGTTTGTTTTGAAAAATTTTATAGCTTGTACAATAAATATGTGTTTTTGAGTGTCTGAAATCACCCTAACGTGTTCATTCTTTTTCAGAGAAAAGAAGGTGAGCTAGATAAGAACCTACTAGAACTGACTGGGAAAGTTTTGTCATCGAATCCTGATATTTATACACTCTGGAACATCAGAAGGGAAATTCTTATAATTTTGAAGTAAATACATTTGTTTTCATATTAATTCATTTTATCAAGTCATCATTGTGTTCTATAGTTGTATCTTTACATTAAAAGTAACTTTCTTTAATGAGCTATTACCTATGGATAATTGTACACAATTGATTAAGATTGCATCATTATTTTGGCATGTATAATGTACATTTTCCAGGAAAGGTGATGAAAGTGAAGAGGAACTGTCTCAATTGTATGATGCCGAGCTTCAATTAACAGAGTATTGTTTGAAAATAAACCCTAAGTCTTACTGTGCATGGCACCAAAGAGAATGGGTGCTAACAACTAGAGCTAACCCCAACTGGGAGAAGGAGTTGTCTCTGTGCAATATGTACCTGAAGTTAGATGAAAGAAATTGTAAGTGAAATTATTACAATAAACATTTATTGAATTTTATCATAGGTCAAAGCCTGTGTGGTCGGAGAACAAAAAGTTCATATTTCTGTGTTATTATACTAGTGTCATATCTTTATTGACAGAGCTCAATTATCTACTATAAGTATGGTTTTTCTTTCAGTAGTCACAACTAATTGGTATTATTGAGTTTCAAAAGAGGTAATGTTTTAACAGATGGGGAAGTTTAAAAAAAATGGGGATGTTTGAGCTGTAAGAAAACATACTTTACTGGCAATAACCCCGTTATGTTGTCCTTTTCAGTTCATACTTGGGATTACAGAAGATTTGTTGTCAGCCAATGCAAGCCGCCACTGAAAGATGAATTTGACTTTACGACTGATAAACTAATGGACAATTTCTCCAATTATTCTGCCTGGCATTATAGGAGTAAAATGCTTGTGGAACTCTACCCTGATGTTGAAGGTTTGTTCATTTTACTAACTATAAAAGGAAAACATGTGTGTATATGTTATGTCTTACCAGCCCTTATGGATAATAAGCAAAGATATTGCAAGGGAACTAATTTTACAATTGAATATACTCTTAGAACTCTTTCTTTCCAGGTGGACGTCCAATTGAGGATAGTCATCACAAACATGAGTTGAAAATGGTCCAAAGTGCAGCTTTTACTGATCCTGATGACACTAGTGCATGGTTTTATCAAAGATGGCTGCTGGGTAAGTAGATGGTTTAGATCAAGAGCTTATTATAAGACTATTTTATTTTCATGGAATAGGAGGCAAACATGTTGACAGATCACCTGATGGTAAGCAATCAGTGTCGCCAATGGACACCTGCAACACCAGAAGAGGCACTGGTGTGTTGCCGGCCTTTTAAAGAGGAATACACTCTTCCCTAGAAGATTTGAAGGTTGTATGGGCATACTCTACATAATAGGGAGATTACTATGTACTGGCTGGTGATTGGAGGTTGTAGTTTAGAAAGTTCAGATTATCAGTAGTATAGTACCACTATATTTACTTTAGTAAATTATAATTAGATCTAAATTATCATTTCAGGTGCCGTTAAAACAAACATAGAGGTGGCAGTTTATACAGTATCGCCATCGAAAACAACAGTAGCATTTAGTAAGCCAGTGAACCAATCCTATGTAGCTTCTAAGATTAGATTATTTATCAATGATGAGTTAGTAAATGGTGAATGGCAGTCTTGTTCAGGAAATCAATATGATGTTCTGTGGATTTTTAAACACAATACTGAAATCACTGACAGTTTAAATGTGCAGGTAAGCAAACATTTTTGATAAATGGTAACTATAGCTTTCCCTGACGTTGCTTAACCCCTCGAGCGTCCTTATGAGCACCCGGTGGATCATAAGAAAAAATAATCCAAATGTCACGTGTGCACCCGTTGGATCATAAGGAACGCGGACGCTCGACGGGTTAATTTATTTATTTGCTGCAAGCCCTGGCACATGGTTTCAAATATTTCTCAATTTTTCAGATGGAGTATGACAATGAAAATGGGGATGTTCAGAAAATTCCCACTGTTAAACAAAATGGCCAAACTTATGTTGGCAAAGGAGAAATCGATTTCCAAAGAAAATACTCAAAACCAGTCATTGAAGAACTAATTAATCAGTTAGATTCTTGTCGTCAGTTGTTGGCGATGGAGCCTGATAATAAATGTAAGATAATAATTATAATTCTCATAATTATTACGTTTAAGACTGCCTCGCTGGCCGAGTGGTCGCCGGTGCCGGTGCCGGGCAGGGGGTCTCGGGTTCGATTCCCGGGTTGGGTAAAGTATTACTGGGTTTTCAAAAAATTCTCAATAGTAGCACGGGTCTGGAATTGTGCCCTGTATATGGCAATAGGCTCACCCCCTATTACATGGGACTCATAACATAAATAGTGAAAAGTGGGTGTTACATTGTACAGTGGTATAATGTGCACTATCTGCCTACCCCTTCGGGGATAAAAGGCGTGATGTTATGTTATGTTATGTAATTATTAAATGTTAATTCCAAAATACATGCACAATTGCACATATTCCATTCTAACGTATTTTGGGGAATTGGTGCAGAAATAATCACCATCACGAATGTAAAGAAAAATAAAACTATACTGTGTTAAAAGTTTATTAAAATATTAACATAGATAATCAAAGTGTTACAATACTGTTAGCTAATCTATGGGACTCCAATTAAGATTCCTTTTGGCAGTTTTCGTTTTAAGAGCACTAATAAATTGGAATATAGGTCATACTGTTATTATAAGTATACTAATCAGATCATATATAGGCTGAACTTATATTGGGCACATAACTACTTAAATGTTACTAAATATGCCACCAACCAGTTTGATTCGTAATTTGTTACATTCTGCAGTCTTGCCCAAAGTTTATTTCAATTTGTCTAATTGAATCACACTTTTTTGCATTTCAGGGACTCTTCTTACAACTACAGTGTTCCTACATTGTATTGATGCAAAGCAATATCACAAGGAGATTATAGAAAACTTACATACATTGAAAACTATTGATAGTTGGAGAGCTGGTTACTATGATGACTTGATTACTAAATGGAGTTTAGAAGATCAACTTGCAATTGATTACAATAATCATTCTATAGATTTCAAAATCAAGTTTGATGATAAAATCACGAGTTTACCTCACTTGCAGTACTACAGCCATTGTGAAAATGTTGATTTATCTAATCAGAACTTATCGTCTAATGTGTTAGCTTCATTAGAATTGCTTCAAAATTGCAAGGTAAGAATGATCTAGCATTATAGTAGTGTGTTGTCACCAAAGTACTATAAGCAGCAAAATTAGAAAGTGATTTATACAGTTTATAGGTAATTAGATAGAATTTATTCAATATGGCTTATGTGAACTAATGGAGGAAAGCTCTTCTAGTTTTAAGTTACTTTCGGATACATATTCGGCGTGGTGACGTCGCTGTATCAATCCGTAATTTATTTCAATTAATTTAGAGTATGTTTCACGATAGTTGATACAAATAAATACACTGAATATCATGGACTTGTAGACTCTCTACTGACCAGCAATAAATCATGCAATTTGATTGAAATAACATTTCCTTAAGTAATTTTTTTTTTCAGAAACTTTCATTAGCAAACAATCAGCTGACAACATTACAGAGATTCCCTAATTTAATACTAGAGGAGTTAAATTTAACAGGAAACAAAGATTTAGATCAAGAGGAACTGGAAGTGTTCAAGAAAAACTGCAACTATTCCGTTATATTCTGAAGTATATGTTGACACCTCTCGGTGGTAAATATAATACATTTATACATATTTTAATTAAAGTAATCTAAATCTTATATTACATTGTTAGTCGTAAAATGAACAGGTTATATACTAAGCGTACTTTACTTTGCAACACAGAACGCAATTAGGAGGTGTAAAGTGGAAGCAATTACTGCCTGTCCCCCTACGCAAATGGCATTTAAACACTAGCCGACCGTGCGAACAGAAACAGCAATATATAGAATTGATACTGACTTTAAACCCATGTCAAGATCATACATTGAGTTTTCTATGCTCTTGTTCTACTGGTGTATAAATTCCATTTGTCTAAGGGTGCAGTTTGGATAAAAACGCTTAGCATTAAATATTTCACTGCACCTTTTATAGATTATATTTCTGTACTTCTTTACTACATGCCTTTCAACATGACGTTCGACTCCTTGATTGCGTTCTATGTTGTAATGCTTTTTAAGACCAAAATGTCTGTATAACAATTAATTTAATTGCTACTCCTTTGGACAGAAATAAGTGCCTACATTTAATTATACCAACAATAACAAAAATATACTAAATAGTGACGTAATGCCACTAATAGGTTCATCAGGCGACAAGGTCACATAACACACTTACATAATATGTTAGAAAAATATACGCATTATCGAAAAAAAAATGTGTTCAACATAAAATAACAACAGATAAAAATATGATAAAACAATATTTTTTTAAACTTAAATAACTTCAAACTAACACTCATCCATGTCATTTTTATTCTTAACTTATAATTTTATATTAATGCTATTGATAGATAGTTCAAGCTATAAGTACTATAAAATCACTTTCTACATTATTGTTTTATGTAAGTACATAACATTTTGTGATCATGTTGTATAGACTGAGTTTAATAAATGAACAATATACATACATACTTACAAACTAACCATGAGAGTACTCTTCGTTATTTATAACAATAAGATCTTTTTAATCAATACCTGAATAAGTTACTGTTTGTATAACTGATAGATTTTAAATTAAATCAAATTATCAGTTCTACTAACAGATACATAATCAGACATTGTGAAATAGGTTCTAACTGTAGAGTATATCCTTATAATTATTTACTGCAAAAAATATACTTTACTGGTAACACTAAAGGCTTAGCTTGCGTTACACATTACACAAAGCTTTTGTAAAATATGCAGATGCATAACTATGATGTAATTATTGCTCAGATTTTATTTGTATGTAAGTTCAAAAACTTTGCGCCATTAATATTTTCAAAATACATTTTGTTCTACAATTAAGTATTGTTTATTTCGTATTACATTCTTCATTACCTAGGTATTTTAATGTTTTACAAAAATATATATTTGTTATGGTTTACAGTATGCCTAATATAGACTTACCCACTAATAATAAATTGTTGTCATATATAGCTGTGTAGATGATATATTATTATAATTGCAAAGGGACTTTTAGTAATGTGCAGTACCTACGATTTTATATAAATAGCAGATAATATAGCTAGGAAGCAAATTTAATAGAATTAAACTTAAATTGTGGTATGCTGCAACAGTACATTACCAATGGAACCAATTAGATAAGTAATTCACAGTCACATTGAGTTACAAAAAGTCCCAACAATTTATTGATATGATAAAAAATATTAGAATGTTGTGACATTTCGAAATAATAATAAGACAACAGCTTTAATTTCAGTTATTAAACATTTATTTATTTATATGATTTTATTATCATATTAAATTGAATGCTATATTTACATGAGAATAAATTATTATGGAAAGAGTGACTGTTTAAATTTTGTACCCTTGATTAAACTTACCATATCTTAAGCTTCTTAAAATTTTCAACTACCTCTGCAACTGGTTTTAGGTGTTTGTCTTCATCCCAAAACAATTTACCACATTCTTCACATAAAACTGCAGCTTTCTTTGAAGCAGATAGTTCACTTGCATTATGTATTTCAATTGTAACACCCTTACTTGTTGTTAAATTCGGTTTAGAATAAACAACTGGTTGATATAACTCTAAATCATCACAATCGGAATCACTGAGAAAATTGTCCAAATATGCCATGTCATCTTCTTCATAGCCATACCTGTCTGCATTATTAACATTGTTAGCTACCGTCACTCTTTGGTACTCAGTACACATTTTGACAACATCATCTACAGTTATTTTTTTTAAATCTTTACTGTTACAATTTATACAAATGCTGAAAAGATTCTCTTGTTCCACCTTTATATTGTAACTATTAAATATTTTTCTTAACTGTTGTATAATAGTATCCTTGCCAACTTCTAAAATAGAACTTTGTGGGAAATTAGCGGAAGTGTATGTTTCAATTTACATAACAGGACCAGGCGTTCTTCCGATGACGCCAGATTTATCACATCATGCCATAACATTGTTGATGGCATTCCTGTTGTGTCTATTCCACAATACCTTAAATGAGGCATTAAATAAGATAACAAGGGTTCCACTAAGAATTTTACCTCATGAACTGATCTTAATTGTACCACTGGTATACTAGACTGTAGTCTGTCTACAACTTTGGCTTTCTTTGTGCATTTCTTTTTACTTTCTAACATTACATCATTGCATATTTCCTCAAAATTTATTTGTTGCTCTAAGCAGAGTTTTTGAAGGTATTCATACAACTGTATAAGCACATAAGCATCAAGGGCTGCATATTGAATTTGGGTACTTCTCAATGGCCTCAGTTCCCAGTTAGAACATTGTTCTGATTTTTCAAGAGGTAGTCCAAAACATATTTGCACTAGGCAACTGAGGCTATTCCCTGCAGTGGCACTGGTACCAGGTAATGAAAGTCCATTATTAAGCAGACTCCTCCACAGCGTCCCAAGATCCAACAGGCCTTCACCTTGTACTTTAATGTTTCCCAATCCTACTACACATGATTTTATTTCTTTCAAATCCTGTTCTAGTCCAAATCCTACTTTAATTATCTCTGCATTATCCAGAAAAGATTTATGAAAAGTGTACCAAAAACTTATATACTCTGGTTTATTCAATTGTAGAGTATCTATGAGATGAACTTTGTTGGTAGTGGCAATTTGAATTAATGCTACTTGGGATTGCGTAGCACCAAATGATGGCTTCCACTCACAATCAATGCTTACAATACTGCTTTTGACAATATCTGATATCATTAGATCATAGAACTTTTCTCCTGTATCTATGATTGTTATCTGATCTTCCTGTAAACACAATTTGTAATACTCTTGGGGAGTTTGAGATGCATCATCACCGGGGGTATCCCAATTCTCTTCCACAATATCTTCATTTAAAGACAATTCTTTAAGTGCAAGTGGTAACTCACTCTCTGCCATATTCAAATATGAAGCCCACTTTAGAGCTTCATTACGGTCATATTCAACTAACATTTCAATGAATTCTTGACCAGAGCCAGCGTTTTGTTTCAGTGAGTCTTTCACTAGATCTTCCCAGACAGATGAACTTACATTGTGTTCTTGATATTTTTGATGTATTAAATATCTCAAACCACCAGTTGTACGGTTTTTACTGAGATTCTTACATGTTTCTATAGGAATGTTAAACTTATTGCATAGGCGGGCTACTAATTTGCCAAGTGGCTTGTAGTGTAGTTTATCATATCTAACGTGTGAAATCTTATTGTGAAGAGTATAATTCTGTACATAATCTCGGATATTAATTGATTTGTCTAATAATTTGTCTAGAAATATTAGCAATGGCTTTACTTGATTGGGGCACTCGTTTAGATACTCATCAATCAAATTTGATTTATCTTGTAGTATAAGGGGAAATATCAGGTCTTCTACAGGTATGTCATCAAATAAATTCATGCATATAACTATTTGAGAAGCTTGCTTGCAATTATCTTTACTAACCATATCTTTCACAAAAGGTAGAATTTGTTCTTTAATTGTAGTTAGTTTATAAGTTTTCACCATCAGACCAAGGAAATGGTTGTTTCTCTGTTGGACAGCTATATGGAATGCTGGCAATTTCAAATTTTCAACTGGTACAATCCCACTTGTCTCTGACCATTTCAATAAAGTTTCAACAATGAAGTATGGTAAAGTTTTTGGCTTGCAATCTTTGTAATCATCACATTTAATCACAAAAACTAAAGCTATTCTGTAGGGTTCTGGTGAACACTGAAGAAATGTTTCAATGTGAGATGCGATTGCTGGACTCTTTTTCCATGTCTTCCAAGTAAGTCTTAGTTGTTCTAACCATAATTTGGAATTGTCATCAAGATTAACATTAAGACCTATGGACTTCAATGAATCTTCTACGGAGGGAACTATTTTGATGGATTGATTCTTACTGACTAGTTTATTAATATCCATTATTGTTGCTGCCTCGATCTTCTTATTTATCTCAATTCTTGGTTTTAACTTAGGTCAATCCTCATGACATCAGTTAGAAATTAGAATAGTTCGTGTAAAACAAAACTCTATCTTATGCTATTGAACACAACTACTGGTAGCACAATCTTATATTATTAATAATGTAGTTTACTCGGACCTACAATAAATAATGAAGATACATTATTTATTCTCTTTATTTTGTATTTTTATGGGTAATTTAATGTTTTGTCTAGTCTGTCATTGACGAGACGTAACGTAATGTCATAATGTCAATGTCAGTCAAATGTCAATTAGGCATGAGCGTGTTTAATCATAACAATTCACTGTTACACAGGTATAAGTATTACACTGATAATAGTTATTCTTGCATACAGTGAATGTATCAACTTATAACTGTTAATAATAATAACAAGCACCCACTTGATCTATTGTATGCTATAACTAAAACTGCAGGTTAAATCGCAGACAAAAAATTAAAATCACAAACACTACGTCATCTTAGTTTGTAATATGACTTTCATGAGACATACTAAATTAATAATTTCTTTATGGTACCTATAAACCGGTAAACGAGCAGTCGGATGGTATGACTAGCCGTGGTATCACTCCGGTCGAGCCGGCCCATTCGTGGCGAAGCATGGCTTTCCACACTTAATTATGTTTTTCGGCTTACTCACGTAACTTGACTAGTTTCAAGGTTCACCTATATCGACTAGTTTCAAGGTTCGCTTCTATTTATGAGCAGATATTTCGCAATATACGACACGGTGAATTCCGCCCAGCTACTCCCCGTGACCGTCGAGAGCTTCGTTAAACTGCTAGGTGAATAAGCAGAATAATATAATAACTACTGCGACAGCTCAAGTTCAACCATTGTCATTGGAAAAATAACAGGCTGTTATTTTATAACAGGAACAGTTATAGAATGAACAGATATCGAGTATCATCAGTGTTATCACCTGTTACAATAATTTATAGCCTCAACACTTACGTCGGCTCAGGAAATTGAGGGTTACCAGAGTTAGTGCATAGTAGAAAAAATATTACTTTAGGTAGGTACTTGTGAATTGTTTTTTTACATCACGCAAACCTTGATAATGATACATGAAAATATTAATTTATTTTGTTCATCTAGTATGTCATTCATTACAGATCAAGAAAACGTTAGGTAGAGAACTACAAATATAGGTAAAAGATAATATAAATATCAAGTAGTTATAAAGTTAAGAACTATTATTTGAAGTTTCTGTAAAAAGTAGCAAACAGTAGAAACTAGAAAGTAGTTTTATAGAATTTTATAGTGGCAACATCGCTGTACACAGTGACTTTTGTTTTTGCAAGTTGTAGAAGTTGAATGAGACGAGAAATTTATTGTGATTTGAGTTGTGTTGATTATATTTTGTCTTTATTGCTATAGTATTACTAATTATTACAAGTCATAATCAAAGATGGAGCTCTCAGCTGAAGGTAAAACCCCTGAATATATGGCTTTGGCCGGAATCAAGTTCAAGCTTAGTTTGCCTCACTTGAAAGATGATCAACAGCTAAAAGAACAGCTCTTGCAAGGAATCAAGAGTGGACATATGGCTCCATACTATAAAGAGGTCTGCACCGACCTTGGATGGAAATTTGACCAGAAGTTGTATGATGAGATGGCAAAAGAAAACGAGGACAGGTTATCCAAGTTTCAAGAGGATGATTCAGAGACTCCAGTATGGCAGGACAGGTTAGTGGACGAATCTTTTATTCCCATTTGTCAAATACACTATTGGATTTTTTTGTTACGTTTTGTACCAACCGAATGTTATGAATGAACTGTATCACTTCCAGTTTGGTAGAAACTGTTTAGTATATTGGTATGATGATGATTTTTTTTCATTCCAGGCTGGACTACCTCTGTTCTATTGGTGACAAAGAAGGTGCAACTGCCCTGGCTGTCTCCAAATATGAAGATTCAACATTAACCACAAACAGACGCTTGGATGCAGTCTTTGCTTTGTTCAGAATTGCCTACTTCCATGGATGTAATGTTAAAGAAATGGGCAAAAACATAAATAAGGTATAAGTGATTTCTGTAGTCATTATTTTAGATTTTAAAATCATGTATTAGTATTAACAAATTGCATATTATAATACCTAATGACTTTATAGTAGAATGAAATTATTATGTTTGTATGTGATGTGTATATCAAAAGGTTTCTAACTAAAACAATAATTTTCTACTACAACTTTTTTTTATAATATATGTTTAAGACAAAACATAACCTTGTTAAAATATTAATTTCATATTGTGTAATGACTTTTAATCTTACACAAATGCCAAATTAATTGGCTTTACCGTAAAGGTGTAAATGAAAATGTATTACATTGTCACTCAAACACAATTTTTGCTTTCACATTAATAATGTTATTGTAGTACTGGGCAATGTTCCAATTCCACATACAAATTATTCATAAAAATTTATAAATTCGAATTTTGTTTCAGGCACATGAGCTGGTAGATAAAGGTGGAGACTGGCGTTCCAGGAATAAGCTGAAGGCATACGAAGCAATCTACTGCCTCGCAGTCAGAGATTACAGCAAGGCTGCAGATTTGTTCATTGATTGTGTGTCCACATTCGAATCTTACGAACTTGTTGATTTTGGTAAGCATTTATATATTAAATACTAGCTACTTCCGCGCGGTTTCACATGCTCTGCTCGGCTCCTATTGGTCGTAGCGTGATGTTTTATAGCCTATAGCCATCCTCGATAAATGCGCTATCCAACACAACAAGAATTATTCAAATCAGATCTGCAGTTACGGAGATTAGCAGGTTCAAATAAACAAACAAAAAAAACAAACTCTCCCGCTTTATATAATAGTATAAGATGTGTACTGTTTGTTTTGAAGATTAGATCTTTAGAAATGTCAGTCAGATTGGATTGGATTGGATTCTTTCCTTGGTAGTACTAGGTAGTCTCACGCATACACAACTACTCTAGTCTTGAGAAAAGCTATTACTGACTTATCAGCATCCTGTAAATACTTACCAATATGTATTCAAGCAATAAATAAAACCATGATTATGGTGGTCACTGTTCACTCAAATAAGTTTTTATTACATAATATATTTGGAACCATTCCAAGTATAAGATTCTTCTAAAATACCATCACACCTTTTATCCCCGAAGGCAAAGGCAGAAGTGCTCATTACGGCACTTGCCACTGTACAGTGTAACACTCACTTTTCACTATTTATCTTATGAGTCCCATGTAATAGGGGGTGAGCCTATTGCCATATACTGGGCACATTTCCAGACTATGTTCTACTACCGAGAATTTTTTTTGCAAAACCTAATAATACTTTGCCCGACCCAGGAATCGAACCCGAAACCCCTTGCCGCAGTCGGGTTTAGATAAACTAGATACATAGAAGAGTAACATCTAACATGAACTTTCATATGTTTCAGGTACGATTATCCAATATTGTGTGCTGGCTTGTGCATTGGCGCTTGAACGCCATGCTCTACAGTCAGCTCTGAGGCGCCAAGGTGCTGCTGTACAGGCTCTTCGCTCACGGTTCCCAGAGCTGAGGGAACTAGTTGAGTCACTCCATGAATGCCGCTATGCTGATTTCTTGAAGAGTCTTGCCTGGGTATGTCATTATTGTTCCATAAAGAATTGAGTCTCCAGTTAATGTCTTGATAAGCATCAGTATTTTGTCTGGTTTAGCAAAGATATGCTGAAATAATGTACTAATAAATAAATATCTTTTGGATAACAGTGTCTGGAAGTATGATGGTGTCTTGCGCCTATGGTCATGTCTTGAAAAGCACTCGAAACCATTTCTAAAAAGGTTCCTACTACTGCCATTTTGCAAATAAATTACCTCTTGTGCTTATAAATCATCTTCTATTTTGTATATCAGATTAACAGTCTGGAGAATCATTACATGTGTTCTGTTTTGTTTAATAGGTGGAGACCCAAATCTGTGTAGACCCAGTATTTAGGCCCCACTATCAGCACTACGTGCGCGAGGCTCGCATCAAGGCGTACGTCCAGTTGTTGCGCGCGTACCGCTCGCTCAGTCTGGACAACATTGCTGATACATTCGGCGTCTCCCGCGAGTTCGTCGAGGAAGAGATCTCGAAGTAAGTATTATTTACGTTTGGTTTCTCGAATATTTTTGGTATTCTTTTTAAGACTACTTAGCAGTAGTCTAGTTAGCACTAGGTGCTACTATTTTAAGAGATCTTTAATAGGTTAGGTTTAGAGGCTAAGTTACAACTGTCAGATCAGGTGGCTTACTCTTGAATCCAATTTTCGTACTCTCGAGTTCCAACACTAGCGCCCATTGCATCCGTATTGGTCGGATATTGAATGAACTAATTGGTATTGAGTTAGACTTTATATTCCGTACTCTGAATGCTATTTCAACAGCTACGGTAGGGGCTGTATAGTTTTGACATTGAATCATTATTGGATTGAAATCAACATCCATAGGTCCTGTTATTGCCAGTGGTTGTCAGAAAAGTGCTGGTCATACGACTCAACATACAAAACCGTTATTGCGCCAGAAGGCTGAATACAACAACGACAGTAACTAATGATAGTGAAACACCTCTAATGGTTATATTGCATAGAAGGCATATAATAATCTTACATACATTACATTACATAACATCACGCCTTTTATCCCCGAAGGGGTAGGCAGAGGTGTACATTATGCCACTGTACAATGTAACACCCACTTTTCACTATTTATGTTATGAGTCCCATGTAATAGGGGGTGAGCCTATTGCCATATACCGGGCACAATTCCAGACTCCGTGCTACTACTGAGAATTTATAAACACTCAATAGTAGTAGAATCGAACCCGAGACCCCTTGCCCGGCAGTCGTATTTGCGACCATTCGGCCAATCAGGCAGTCAAATCAAGCGTCGATCTAATAAATCTTATACTTTGTAATACAAAATACCTTTGTCTACTTACGT